AGGACAGTCTGACCGCCCGACGGCCCCGGGTTGCGTGTGCCGTTCCCCAACGCGCGCACTTCTTCGGTTCTCTATCCTCTTCCGGTCCCCCTGTGCCGTGTGTCTGTGGTTGCGGCGCGCAAGGGTGAATACCAACCACCGATCATCGTCGCGATCGGGCGAGACCAGTGAGGGAAACGGTGTGTGAGTGAAGTGTTACTTGCTTTATATTGTGGGAAAATACAGCCGCTACGGTGGCTCAGCACGCAGAGTTCCCCGGCGCGGCCAGGGCGTTCATGGCGCAGCCAAGGGTACGTTGGTTTCCTTATTTTTTTACCTTGTTCCGTCTTTCCGCCCGTTTCTCGCCGATTCTTTCGCCGCGAGCGATCGACGGACGCTGATAGTCTTCGGTGGATCGTGAGTATCTTCGCCGGATGTGTCGTCGCGAGACAGGGTTAGGGGATTTCTGATAGTGCATAGGAAGGCTCTTTTGTCTCGGCGCAGACGAGGGATTTTATTTGATTCTCTAATGTGACGGAGTGTCTTGTTGGGAGTACACGCTGGAGCTTACTTTGTGGTCGGTGGTTTAGTGAGTTCGAAACGATGCCGGGACGATAGGGGAAAATTGGTACCTGTTCTCTTTTAGCGTTTCGATTATGGAGGCACCTTCGGATAAATGGGAACATGATTTAGTGGAAACGATTGTATTAGTGTTGAAAAAGTGGATACATGATTCGGTCGGAGAACACTCGAGGAACGCATAATGGCAGGATTAATGTACACGGTGAACGTAGCCAAAAGAAAATTCTTCTCTGCTCTTGTAACGGAACCATTCGGACGTTCTGTGCTGCAACGTATTCTCGCGTCTTCAATTTTCAAATGATTGCTTCCTCCGAGAAGAGTGTGAATAATTCCCAGTGCTTCGTTGCAGTTTCATAGAAAATATTCAACTCGCAGAAATGGAATACGACGGTACAAGTGTTTCGTCTTGTTAACTCCGAAATTCGAGTCCGTCGGTCGACGCTGCTAGCTGTTCTGTATTGAGCAAAGGTTAAACAAATGATTACAATTATCCTACGAACGTTTACTCGCCTTACGGAAGTATTCTAAAAAGTTCCACGTTCATCCTCGAATTATACGAAAAGTTCTTCGCGCGAAATCAGTTTTTGTGCTTTGAATCCACGTGACGTCTAGCCGAGGCTGATTGGTTCACTCGACCGATTTGTACACAGCACCGTACGCAATGTCATGTCCAACCTGAAAAGGACTTTGTTATTTACGTGGAATTTCACCTTAATTGATGACCTGGTAGTAGCAATCCGTCGCACGCATCGATGTCCGATCGTTGTATCGGAGTACGATTCATAAGCACTGTATTCCATTCTGAACGCGGGTCGCACTCGATTTTCATCGAAGTCCGTGCGTCGACTACCAAACTCTTTCCTAGTGTCATGTAGTACTCCAAATCATTACGAGGAAGTTCACGAGCAGCGTGTCGAGGTGAACAACCCGAAACGATCGTCTGATCGGCGTTTCATTTACACGACGGTGGCTCGAAGTGTAAAACAAAATTGAAGCCCGAGGATTTTTCTTGAAACGATTCTTCGATTCCGAGCCACTGCTTAACGTTGTTTCGCTGGTTATCGTAGTTTTAATCCTCCCATGGAAAAACTTGGTGCACGGAACGAGTTTAACACTGGATCTCGACTGTCCGTCGGACGCCATCCAGAGGATCCGATACTTGTCCGTATCTCGTATTTGATCTGGTATCCACGATCAACGTTTCCCATTGGGAGCATACAAATTAAAAGCGATTACTTACTCGGTGATTAACGAAGAATAATTGTAATTAATTTTTCCACAGTTTAAATTCTATTCGACTTCGACGTTAAACAACCGAGATAAGCTAATCTATTCTTTCCGCATCGCTGGATGGTAATCCAACGAGATCTACAGCGGTTTAAACTGCATTTTACTCCGACTTTTAGTTTCCTTCGTGTGTCGCAAAGTTGAAGTGTCGTGTTCCTCGGGTTCCTCCGATCAATCCCGGCAAAGTGTTCGCGCGAGAATTCGTCTGGAGGAACCAGTGCTCCGACGAATTGAATATTCGAACGGACACGGTATGTATTTCGTTGAGCGCGCGCGACGCCCGTGAACAGTGGGGAAAGTCATTGTCACCGGTAAAAACTGGCTGATAGCTTATCAAAGTGAAATTCCGCGGCGCGCGTACAGTGAATATTCTGTCGATGATCGCGTTACAATTTCCGATCGGATACAATATTATCGGGTTTAATGCCGGCCCGGGTTTTCCGCTCGGTTTTTCGAATTCCAACGGTTCACGGTTTTATTGAGCCCCGGCCAAGTGAAAACGGTATCGCCGCCGATAAAGAGCTTTACGAGATCGCCGATAACCGGTGATCGCTCGCGTGCCCCGTCGATTTTCGACTGACGACGCGTCGAGACGCGTACCGACGGCCTTCTCTTCACCGGCGACGTCCATATCTCGACCGAATTGTTTACGTTTTCTTCGGTGAGCCGCTATTTGCCCCAAAAACTTCACTCTTGTCGCCGACGATTTCGCAGTTCTCCTTTTCCGAGGGTTTTCCTGGAAAATTTCGGTTCTTTACTCCAAAACACACGAAGTGTTTCTTTCCGAGGATTCGTTAGAATGTTCTACGCATGGAATTAAAACAGATGCGATGAGATAAAAATGTCATAAATGCCCCATTGAGGAGTTATAAAATAAATTTGAAATGCGATACGGCAATACTCCGTTTGGTTCGGTCGAATAAGGATCGTGCTCCAAACGAACCAACTGGGAGAATCAGTGCAGCTAGAGAATAAACGAGGAAAATCGGGATATTTGATCTACAACAAATTGAACGTCACGTGGATATCAGACTCGCGTCGATAAAAGGCGGCGACGCATTGTAATGCGAAGATAAGTGCAACGTTCCCGTTGCGTTTCATATTTTCGTTGTAACTTGGTAATCGAACATTCGTACGTTGTTTGTTGCACGATACGTTAGCGTTAATTTTAGCCGTAGGACATTTGTGGACAACCGTCTGTGTATAATTCCCGATATACGTGTATCACGAGGAATTCGTCAGTGTTTAACAGTGCTCCGAAAATGACGTGCCATTTGAAAGACTAACGATTTCACCGACGATTCAAGCGTATCGTTGTAATGAGATATAAGTATCGTTTGAACACCGAATTCTATAATGTCGATTATTCTCTGTGCCATGCTCGTGAAAGTGAAAGTTCTTTTTCCCGGGTTTGATCCGCGTCGAATGTCAAGCGGCATTAGTGTGCGGTTCGGGAAGTGATCGTCTCGTTTTTTTTCGTCGAAAAAGTGATTGTGAAACGCCGTAGTCGCCGTTTTCTACTAGACAAGAGGTCTCGTTGTAGCGTCGTTAACGGAACACGTTTCGTGTGCGGAATCTCTCGAAACTACCGGACACCGCGAAAGTGTGATCCGCGCGACGCGTCCGGCACCGGCGAACATACTCTCGGCCATATTCGCCGTCTCGCCGGTAATTTAATGGTACACGCATCCTGATGACCCGCGCGCGGGACTCGGTCGGAACGAATGTTCGTCTCGAAGCCGAAAAAATTTGTTGGGCCCCTTTTTCGGGGGCCCCGCGAGCGTTCTTCGGAAACCGAGCTCGTTTTGTTCGATCCTCTCGAAGTGAATCGTTCGGAGCACGATCTTCTTCTCGACGATGACAAGTGGCGGCGAATAGTTTTTAGCTACTTCGCCTCTCCGTCGATTCCCATCAATGACAGTAATCCACTGTTCAGTTTCGAGCCGACTGAAAGTTCCGTGCTCTTGAGTTATTTCGATCATCGGCGGTCGCTTCGAATTAATCGCGTTAAAAAGAATCGCGGGCGATAACGGGAAGGTGCTTGAAACGACGATAGAATTGATCGTCGGTCATCCGGTTGTGCGATAAACTGACAAAATATTGCGCGATTGTTGCGGTTATTATACATTTCCGTGCTCCAGATCGTCGATGCGTCGCGCGTTCGAATAAGAAGGCTTGAACGTATCGATGGGAAACTGGAACGCGCGTCGTAATGAAAGGGGCCGTGAATCGTGAAGCAACGACAGGATAATTACACGAATTTTCGGAATGTTTCCCTCGTTCGTGTACTTTTTCGTGCCTCGAAGAAAAATGGTGAATAGGAGCGAGACGCGGTAGAAAAAAAATGAAAGTGTACGCGAGCCCGTTACCAGGATTAAAAATTCTTGGGCCGGTGAATAGCGTCGATTTTTGTCCACCGCTGTACCACGAACGAGCCGTGATTATGTATTTATGGGTATCCATCAATCACTTTCGCTCTCCCGATTGCCGCGGATATCGGCCTTTAGCCTGCCAGGATTAAAGTCGTATCGATTTCTCGTCGTTCTATTCGCCGTGTGCTCGATGAGACGGATTTTTACTCCCTTTTTTTTCTCTTATCCTCCTTTTCTTCTCCTTCCTTTCTCGCTCCTCTTTTTTCTTGTATTTCGGTCACCTTTCAGCGGGTCGGGGGATCTTCGGTAACGGTACATTAACGGGCCGAGGAAAACGGAATGTGGCTCATGTGTGATTCGTCGGGATCGAAAGTTGCGGGTCCGGAATTTCTGTTTGTCACTTTCCTCGCCGGGATTCTCGATCCGGCCGCAGAAAGTATCGGAATATTTCGCTATTTTAGTGTACCCGTGAATTATTGGCGAGGTGGTATTCGCGGCTTCGAGGTATATTTCGAGAGTCCTTGGAATTTTCTGTCGAAACGTGCACCGAGTTCTCGGAACGACGCGTATCTTCGTTCGATCGAACGCTAGGACTCTGTCTTGCCCTCTTTGAAGCGCAATTACTCGTGGAACCGTTCCCAAAACTGAATTCGTAACGAACGAACCAGATGATTAAGTGCTATGGACGTTCAGATGGTATCGGGTATTAGTCTTCTAGAAATCTGCACGGAACACGTTTTCATATTTCTTTCTTCTGCCTCTATTAGCACGCATCGCATCCTGTTTACAAAATATTTGTATAATATAACAAAGATGCGAAGCGTTGACACGTTGACTGTTGGACACAGACGATTGACAAGATTTTCTGCGATCACATTTCCTCGACATCTGTCACTCGCAGAAACTCTCAAAGAATAATTACCACAACGAATCTATACATTCATTTTCCGCTTTAACTCCCGTACTACTTCAATTTCATAGAATTTTCGTGGCTTCTACTTTAACCATACAATATTCACTCTCTCCAAGTGATAATAGATTTCCACAGTAAAATCAATTTTCTATAAAAG